AACAAACTAACCAACGCAACGAACAAACAAACTAACCAACGCAACGAACAAACAAACTAACCAACGCAACGAACAAACAAACTAACAACGCAAACGAACAACAAATCAACGCAACGCAACAAACAAACAACTAACCAACGCAACGACAAACAAACTAACCAACGCAACGAACAAACAAACTAACCAACCAACGAACAAACTAACTAAACAAACTAACCAACGCAACGAACAAAACAAACTAACAACGCAACGACAAACAAACTAACGGAAACCGAACAAACAAACTAACCAACGCAACGAACCAAACAAACTAACCACGCGACAACGCAACGCAAAACAACAAACAACCAACGCAACGAACAAACAAACTAACCAACGCAACGAACAAACAAACTAACAACGCAACGAACAAACAAACTAACCAACGCAACGAACAAACAAACTAACCAACGCAACGAACAAACAAACTAACCAACGCAACGAACAAACAAACTAACCAACGCAACGCAACGCAACGAACGCGAACAACAAACTAACGCAACGAACAAACAACTAACCAACGAACAAACAACTAACAAACAAACTAACCAACGAACGAACAAACTAACCAACGAACAAACAAACTAACCAACGCAACGAACAACAAACCAACGCAACGAACAAACAAACTAACCAACGCAACGAACAAACAAACAACAACGCAACGAACAAACAACTCAACAACCAACGCAACGAACAAACAAACTAATCAACGCAACGAACAACAACTAACCAACGCAACGAACAAAACTAACCAACGCAACGACGCAACGAACAAACTAACCAACAAGGCAACGAACTAACCAACGCAACGACCAACGCAACGAACAAACAAACTAACCAACGCAACGAACAAACAAACTAACCAACGCAACGAACAAACAAACTAACCAACGCAACGAACAAACAAACTAACCAAACGAACAAACAAACTAACCAACGCAACGAACAAACAAACTAACCAACGCAACGAACAAACAAACATAAAGCACAAAACCCCGGAAGTGAATCATCATTCTCATACTGAAGAGTTTTGAGCCAAAAAGGAAAAGGAGAGTTCTAGTAGATGGAGTTTCGGCTTCAATTTGTATCAAAAACAAACAAAAACAATGTCTAGACTTAGTATCTCGACTGAAGTTGATTTCTTGTATATAGATTGCGTTACAAATCAACCATTCCAATATATTCCCCTTTAGCCTCGCGGATCTGAAGAGGAATGGCGTAGGAGTGCCGTGGATCTACCACAACACTGGTGGGGTGACCATACCCCCCCCCCCAAAAAAAAAAAAAAAAAAAAAAAAAAAAAACTGATGTATGAGTACCTCCAAACCTGAGTAGTGCCTGTAAACATTTAACAGAAAACGACTACGTGCACAATCCTTTAAAGATAGATAATTAAATATTAAATGAAAAGTATATGTCATATGTTTCACAAGGGTTCTATGTTTCACAAATGGTTCCCACAGACCTGCCGCTATCAAGTTTTTTTTTTCTCTTTTATCTGCGATCAATAATGTACAATATTTACGTTTTACACCATCTCTTTTCTTTGCTGAATGCTTTATGGAACTATACAGCAGCGAAAAAAGAAAGAAAAATATATATATAAATAAAATGATATGGAATGAGCAAGATTGCCTGTTACCACGTGCAAGTCACTGACTGAGCAGGATCGCCTGTTACCACGTGCAAGTCACTGACTGAGCAGACTGTTACCACGTGCAAGTCACTGACTGAGCAGGATCGCCTGTTACCACGTGCAAGTCACTGACTGAGCAGGATCGCCTGTTACCACGTGCAAGTCACTGACTGAAGCAGGATTGCCTGTTACACGTGCAAGTCACTGACTGAGCAGGAATCGCCTGTTACCACGTGCAAGTCACTGACTGAGCAGGATTGCCTGTTTACACGTGCAAGTCACTGACTGAGCAGGATCGCCTGTTACCACGTGCAAGTCACTGACTGAGCAGGATCGCCTGTTACCACGTGCAAGTCACTGACTGAGCAGGATCGCCTGTTTACCACGTGCAAGTCACTGACTGAGC